TCAGTTTCTATCATTTTATCAAACATGATCACACGTTGCAAGTTTTGGTGACAGCAATAAGTTTCCAGTATTGTGCCACCTTACTGTTGGTTATACATCTGAACAGACTACCTGCTGATGTTTCAGGTACAGGCAGATCCAAATCTTTTAACGACACGATCAAGAGGTTCGTTTTTGCTCCGACTCTGCCCTGGAACGTGCAAATCACTTCATTAACCAAATCAATCGGGTCATTATAAAATACTCCCCCATGTACAGGGCAGCTAAGAGCTAACTTAACAGAGTCTCTGTTTAATGAACGCCTGAGCAAATCGAGGCAAAATGTGATAAATGTGCAAATCAGCTTGGTTCTGAAGACATGACGTTGCTTTGCTTGGTTCACGTTCTAATTAATATTTCTGTTTGCTGTTGGAAAAATTAATTGACTGAGTTTCAAAGTGTATTTTTCAGCCATTTTTTGTGCTTAAATCACCTCAGTTAATTAAACATTATGGAGGTTTTAGTCAAGATTAGAACCTTAAGCCTTAGCTATGTTTAATAGATTTAATAATATAAACTAGGGATGCACGATATTATTGGCATGGTATCGGTATTTGCCGATAAAGTTAAATATTGGACATCGGCCATGCCATCAAAATTGATATAAAAGGCACTGTTTTAAAAAAAATATATATATATTTATATAATGTTACATCATTTTTAACCCCCTTTTTGGCATCTGCATTATAGCAGACCAGACTGACAAAGATCATGCAGAATAATGTATTTTAACTCCACAGCAGAGAAAGCTGTGAGGTCTCTGTAAGTAGGTCTAGGGGGAAATATCGGTATTGGTATCGGTATCGGGTATTGACCAAATAAGTTTTAACGTATCGGATATCGGATATCGGATATCGGCCAAAAATCCAATATCGTGCCTCCCTAGTATAAACTTTAACCATGGATAAACCTTCTTGTGAGTAAATTTGACAATTAGAATGATAACTTTTATTAACAACTAAACGTAAAACACAATGACTTAAGATGACTGAAATATGTCTGGTCATTTGACACTTAATTTTTTTTATTTTTTAAATACGTTTTTCAACACCAAATCAGACTATGAAGAGAATATTTCCGTTGTTCGTTGGAGGTGAATACACTTTGAATGTTTTCCTTTATTGGTCACATTTAGGACAAGTTCACAGAAATGACGTTTATTTGAAATACTTTAGTAAACCGTATAAACTCAACAAAGGTCGTATTGTCTCATCTGACATAATTTTACTATTTATTAACTTGCCTGGGTACAAAATCTCTTTTATTAGGCCTGATGATTTATCAGTTTGCAATTTTTTTTAAATTACTCAACCCTGCAGTTCAAACGCAGCTTTATTTATTTTTGCGTATTTCTTTGTTGGATTGTAAATGCAGCAGTTTTAGCGAATATGTGTGTGCGCGTTATCCATTCCCATCTTATTTTGCTCGTCTGTCTTAACATTTAAGCTCGGGAAACCAAAATAAATAAATAAATAAAAATCCTGAGGCTTCTACAGTTCAGGACCAGCGATGCATTTTTTTTAATTAATGGATTTAGTTTAAATTCTTGACTTGTTTAAAAAGTCGAACTTTGACACACCACACACTGTTTTAGTAAAGAAGAATCAAAACGTTAAACTGTTGATTAAATGATTTTGAGGTTAATTTTTACTCTGATGTCGATGGCTGTCACATCTGAGCCCTTTGGGGAAAATTGGATTTGCTCTTCTGCAGATTGATTTCTTTCAGCGCCCTCGTTTCATTCTGTTTGCTTGTTTTTCTTCGTGTCTGAACTCTGCTCGTTTCACTACGTGACTAATGTTGGTGTCGGAAAAAAATCAGCGAACTGTCGAAATCACCTTTTAATGAGCGGCTCTGACTGTGAAGATTACAAATTAGTTTAAACCCACCCGGAGAATCAGTCATTTTCAATTTGGTGCTTTTTTTAAAACAACAAAACGTCTAAATGTATTTACGTTAGTTTTATGATGAACTAAAACGAACAATGTTCTCGAAGGTGATTAAACGGGTTATTTGTTTGTCTCACTTTCATAAATGGAAAAAAAAAAGACAATATTAATGCTTAAAACTTGCACACCAAAAAATCCTGTTAACACTAAAGTTGTAGTCTTGAAAATCTGCAGGCCCTGATGAACTCCCTCCTTATTCCTTTTGTCTAGCTGCACAAATTATGGCAGAACCGGTGTCATACATTTGTAATCCGTCCCTACAACAATATTGTTCCAGATGCTGGGAAAACGGCTTTTGCGCTACCAAGGGAAGAGCTCCCACTATGCTGAGCAATTATCGAGCAATTTCCAAGCTGTTTTTTAGCTAAGGTTTAGAAAAAAACTGCTGCCTTCATGTATATCTTCCCACATGCCACGTCGTCAGTGCAGTTACAGCGTGCACTATAAGGCCTTCATTACCTGCAGTGTCCCCTCAGTGCACATTGAACTCGGCAAAAAGGCCTTTTCTTACTCTGCTCCTGTAACTTGGGACACCTTACAAAAACGTCTGAAGTTGTCCACTTTGATTTCTTTAAGGGATTTTAATAAGGCTGAACGGTTTTGGAAAATGTTCTAATTGTGATTATTTTTCAGTGTCTTCTTCTCATGTATTTTTCAACGAACACAAACGATAAATCTGTTTCAGTTGCAAAAAACTCCACTGTTTTCAGCTCCGCTACAACTCTGTTTCTGTATTTTTTTTGTATATCTCTGGGATAGTAACTTGGCTAAAATGTGTCTGCGAGAGCATTCTGTACCACTTATCCATTGTGTTTACCAAAGCTGTAAACTCAGGCTTGGTCACTATATTAATGGGCATCATGTCTTTCGCTATGAATCCGTTGTTGCTCGAGTTATTTCCACGTGCCGTTTCAAATTATGTTCATACGGAGTAACACCTTCGAACAGTTCGGTCAGTGATCCCTGTCGACTGGTACTTTGCTTACTTGAAGTTGCAGCACTGGTCGTTGGCATTCTACCCATCCATCCATCGTAAATGGCTTTGTGGTGTTTTTTTTAATTGATAAAGATTGGTGGTGTTACCTCGAGAGGCAGCAACAGCAGCAAGGCAGGTTCTGCACAATACATGTCGTCGTTCAGCGTCTTCTTTTTAATAACCAAAATAATTCCAAACAACGGACGTTCTGCCCCTCGTTGGTACCAAACTTTCAGAGGTATCAGCTTCTGTCGAGCCTGACCCCATTGTGCAACCGGTCAAAGCGCAGTGTTTTCTCTCGCTTCTTGCTCCGCCCACTCGCAAGTCGCGTAACCAGATCACATGAACCAGTCAAACCGCAGCCTTTTCAATTAGAAATTATAATTTTATCGTATCGCGATATTATCGTGAATGCCTAGATTTTACGCATTTGATTAGGTCAAAAGAAAAATGTAATCTTATATCTTGTTTTTAGTATTTAACCTTGTTTTATATGACACTTTGGTTTTATTGTTTTTATAACGGTACTTTTTATTCTAATTGCTTTTTATTGTTTTATATTGTCTGTACTCTGTTGTCTAAAATGGGTCTCTCTTGAAAAATAGTCCTCGTGACTCGATGAGACTAATCTGTATTAAGTTTAAAAACGATAATCCACTTGTCTTACAAGTATTATATTCCCTAAAACATGAACTTTTTTTTTTCCTTTAGCATATGAAGTTTTTTTTGGTGCAGAATCGTCTTTAAAGTGAACACCGCCGCCGACTGGTGGAGCAGTAATGATCCACGTCCCTCAGAGGAGCCGCGTGACGGCGTTCTGCGTGAACATCTGATTCCAGTCAGCATTTTGTCTTCACGGTCCGCTGGACAGCAGCTCCGCTCGGTGCTCCACATCTGCGTGCGCCGCTCCTTTCATTACAAGCGCTTTTAACATTTGTAGTGACGGATTTTGTCTTCAGGGTTTGATTTGTTTACAAAAATGTCTGTGTGTTTTTGGAAATTGTACGTAGTTGTATATTTACAGTCACCCAGGATGTGGCGAACGTGATTTTTATTTAAAGGGTTGATAAGACTTCTTGTTTCTGAAGACGTTTGCCTTCTCAGCCACGTCTTTCTCAATTCAAATTAAAACGTGGGGCTTTCAGCGCTTGAAAAATGCTGCGAGTTGCTACATAAATGAGCAGTTGCTCATACTTTTATGATGCTAAGACGGTACACGAGGTATAAAACGACTCGCGTGGACCACGACAAAATATTTGATTGACATTTTATTTTTGAAGCACAGGCCCCTTTTTATTCCAGCCAGTTTGAGCTTCTGTGGAGAAGGTATGAAGTAAAAACATTTTACCTGTTTTAGATGGCTCTTTGACCTCCGTTTGGAGTAGTAGTTTAATTCTTACCAGATTATTGAGCTAATGGCTAATCCAACAAGGCCAAGACCAAACTATATTAAAAAATACCAAACTTTTCTCGATATTCTAATTATTTGAGATGCACCTGTAACTTTTTAACAACCTTAAACAAAATGCGTCTGACCAAAAAAAAAAATATAATAAATTGTAATAATCTTATGTTTTAATCTTTTGGTGCCATCAGTTTTGTGTTGCATCAGTTAAGTGACACATTACCACTCGTACACCAACACGGCCAAGATAAACGACTTTAAATTAATTATACCTGACTCTGATTGGGATTCTAATTGGGTTTATTGAGCCGAGAGCTGGTGGAAAAATTGTTTTACGATGGTGAGATTCCAGCAACTCCTCCGTGGTTAATGATCCCATTTTTCATTACACAGAGATGATGAAAAGTACCCTCATCTCTTCGCGCGAATAAAACGCAGAGCTCATTCTTTACCCTTTTTATGGAGTCATGTTTGCTCGGAGAGAGGGAGGACGGGCGTTTCTTTTGTTTCTTTTAAGTTTCATGCCTCATTAAGATGAGTGAGCTCTGCCTCTTTGTTTACACAGATAATACTAACGGCACCGCTTGAACAAATCCAAGCTGTAAAACTGTTTATTTCTTGTCTGCTGCAGGTGGGATACGAGAACGCAGGGACCGTGGAGTTCTTGGTGGACAAACACGGGAAACACTACTTCATTGAAGTCAACTCCCGGCTCCAAGTCGAGCACACGGTCACTGAGGAAATCACTGAGTAAGTAGCAGATGTTTACTTGTCTGGATAGTTCCCGGCTGCTGGGCAGCTGCATAATTGTGCCGGTTGTCATTTTGCATGAGTGTGTGCCTGGCGTCATCTGTCTGCAGACAGGTGTGCAGCTTCAAGGTTGGAAGGGTTCCACTCTGTAAAATCTGCTGAATTTGTGATTAAAACATGGAGCAGGTGCGGAGTCGGGGAAAAGATTTGGGGTGATGCGTGCAAGACAAACTGAAACGAGGAGGGGGGGAATAATGGATGGAGATGTTCAGGCTGAGAGTAGTGAGAGAAGATTGATGGAAAGCTGACGAGAGGAAAGAAATGAGAGATGCGAAGGGAGATGGCCTGAACTGGTCGGTTTGGTGAAGGAAGCTGAGAGAGGTTAGGGGGAGGGTGAGACGATAAAAAAATAAAATAAGAGGCGTGAAGGTAATGAAAGTTATAAATAGCTTTGTGGCTCCGTGTGATTTGCTGTGCTGAAACAGATGGGTCTCAAACTAAAAGCCATAAACACCCAGGAAAACACGTTTATAACCGCTCAAATTCATAAATCTCTCTCGTGTTCACTTTTTTTTTTTTGCAAAAGTTGCAAAACTGAAACGCAAACTAGAACAACTAATACAGTGTGCGAAGAGTTCTCGATGGTTCAGGGGAAATAAAACGGCCTGTTTCCATGGCAACGCCATGACTGACAACTTTATTTGGATTCTCGATTATTATCCGCTCCTCTGTTTGGTTTCTGTCATCCCCTCCAGCTTTCTATTTTTGCACCTTTTTACTTTCAGGAGCTCTTTGTGATTGACTTAAGAATGGATTTGTAAGAAATTAATTTGGCAGTAAGCCTTTATAAAATAATAATTAAAAATATATATTTTTGTGTCATAAATACTGAAGCACGTCTTGGGATGGGTTAACAATGAAAACCAAGGTGGTGGTTTTACTTTAAGCCATAATAGGACACCAATTTAAATGGATTTATCGGGAATTTGGTGACTAAATTACGATCTGAATGGGTGAAAAGTAGTTTAGAGTGTTGAAAGTTAAGATGGGTGTTTAACTGTGATTTGTGTGGAAGCTTTTTGGACGACACCCCTGCCTCGTCAACTAAAGCCAATAGCTCACCGGGAATCGCCAAAATGTCTTGAAATGTTTGCAGAGATTCTCAGCTGTCTTGAGTTTTTAACGTTAGTTTTTTGTTAAATTGACGACAGTCGGCCTGTTGCGATAAACTATAAATCAATTATTCGCAGGATAAATGAAAATTATCAACCTCATTTTCATTTATTGGCTTTATCGTTTCTTCGTGTCTCTCTCTTTCTACTGAAGACACTGGATGACAACGAGCTCGACTCCGGTGTTCTTCACTGACCCCCTCCCTTTCTCTTTTCTCTTTAAAATCTGTTTTAACCGTCCAACATTGCATTTTTAGATCATTATAAGCAGCTAAGCTACGAGCTAAGCTAACAGGCAGACGACTTCGGGGAAAAAACTGTTTTGTCGAAGCTCCAAAATTCACGGTTGAAACCCGTGCCTTTGTGTAAAAAGAAGCTGAGAACTTGTTTACTGATTAATTAATTTTTTTAATTAAAAGCTACGTGAGAAAAATGCTATGCTAAAGAGCTCAATTCACACCAATCGTCCGGCATTTTGAGAACCAAAGAGAGGCAGCCCATGTCATGTCAAGGGGCCTCCCTCCCATTTTTCTTATACATGCTGCTGGCTCCCTCACTATCCATCTTTCGGTTCAGTCTTATACTGCCATTCGGTGGTCAAAAAAAATACTACATGCAAAACAAATTAAAACTTTCTGATTAAATTTGACAATAATGACTAATTATTGTAAAATTTCAAACAATATTATCGTTTATCGCAATAATTTCTGAGACAATTAATCGTCCAGCAAAATTTATCGTGACAGGCCTAGGTGACAGTCATTTCATCTAAACTTTGTAGCAGACATCTCTAACCTGTCTAAACACGGAGCAGAAAAAAAAAATGTCCATGTCTGAAAACCACACAGAAGATGGATCATTGTTGAAAAACCTGCCTAAATCTGCCAGGGCTCACTTCCAAAATGTAAATTAAATCATAAACTCGGGAAAGGCTGACAAGGTGGGTGCAACACGGGCAGAGGTGGCTAAAATACAGTTTTACAAACTGTGCACATGATAAATATATATTTTTAAAAACCTGTCTGACCAGAAAACAGCTGAATGATTTGCTGGTTGCTTAAAGAGAAACCACTCTGACTTCAGAGACCGCAATAAAGATTTTTGTTTTTCTTCCAGTTTCGAGTCTCCATCTCGTCCACAACGGTCACTGCTAAGAGAAAGACTTCAAGCTGTTAAAATGTGCATCACCTTGTGCATTTGCCATCAACCATATCTCCATTTCCATGCCGTTTTTCTTTTTTTAAATTATCTTCCTGTTGGTGGCGTGTCCTCAGAAGGGTGTAGAAAGTCTGTGTGACAATGAGAAATTGTTTGGAGGCGTAACAGTTGCAAAAATAACTAAACAAATGCAACTCCTTGGCTGTGTGTAGGCGTCATCTACTCGTTATTACAATCAAAATACCAAAGTTAAACGTGGAAAAAAAAATGGTGTTTAAAAAACACAAACACTGACATTTATGTGCTTCACCGGTGCATTGAACATGCTGCTTGACAGGAGTCAAAAAACACTTTAAAATATTTAGGCTGCGAAGAGTGAATAATTTATCAGTATGGTAAGAACGGGAGGGAGCTCAGCATCTATCCCAGCCCATAAAAAAAAACAAAAAAAACTTTGCGCTTTCAGCAGCCTATTAAAAAAAATTCTGTTCAGCAGAAGACAAACAACCTTGTACACTGAGTGCTAAGAACCTGAGGCGAAACATGCAGCTAAATACTCTAAATTTCTACATTCATGTCAATTACTGTAAACTCCTACTGGACAATGCACATACAGACATCTTTATTATGTTAATTATGGCATGTTTTATGCCGGGAGTTCAAGCGAGGGGGCAGGTAAGTGTGAAAGTAACCAAACTTTTTAACTAACACGTCTGTATTGTGAGCCGCTAGCTTTACACTACATCAGTGCCGGCAGTCGTCGACGGGGGGTGGGTCGGTTCGGTTTGGTAGGCAGGGCGCATGGTTCTGTTGACGGGGCCGGGCGCTCTACTTGTACAGTGTTAGGTAGTGTTTCCCCTAGATCAGTTCCCTTGGCCGAGCGGGACAGTCACATCTGGATTGCCCGCCGGCTAGCTTAATGCTACGTTGCTGTCGGTTTTAATCGATGACCGTGGGGGGACAGCGGAATGGAGTCATGTCTGTGTTGCCCACCCGCTAGCTTAGCGCTACGTTGCTTCTGGGTTTTTTTTCGACCGGGGCGGGGGGTGCGGGCGGGGGTGCACATCTGTGTTTAGTGCGTTGATGGGGCGGGGGGAGGGAGTGGAGCAGTACATCATCAATAACATTTTTGCTAGCATGTTTGTATTCTGGCCCACTCTACATCTATACCAACAGTTTTGGCCGGGGTGGGGGTCGATAGGCGGGGCACTTGGTTATGTTGACGGTGGGGGGCACCACCCTTGTATAATGATAGGAGAAATACTGCTTTATAAACCTTTCCCACATTCTTAGCCAAGATGGTGTAGAAGCAGGGCAGCCGACTCGGGACCCGAAAGTCCCAGGTTCGATCCCCAGTCATTGCACAACTCGTGGGTTCTCTGAGCAGCACACCCTATCCCCAAATGCTCCTCTGGTGCTTTCAATAGCTGCCCACTGCACCACCTGGTGGTGGATGGGTCAAATGCAGAGGGCCATTTTCATCATTGTATGAGAACATACAATGATGACGATACATAACATATAATTATTATTACAAATCTTTCCCACTCTCTTATTAATCTTTCCCTGTAATAAATATAACGGAGAACCCTGGAAATTCAACCAGACACAAAGCACATTCAATAAGCTTTATTTTGAAAAGACTGGCTGAAGTCTTGTCTTGCAAGTCTGACGAGACGAAACTGGAAAATCCAGGGCACAGAAACTTGGTCAGGATGAGGGGATCAGTCAGGAGCATGAGATAATCCCTGGGCATTTACTTGTGCAATGCTTTCAATAATCTGGTGCCGGTTAGAGAACAGGGGAGCGCTTAAATGCTACGACCACCAGGTGAGAAGAATTATGCTGATCACAGCGGAGTAGGTGGGCGAGGTGAACACACAGGCAGGAATCATGACATTCACACTCTTATAAACACTTCATATGCTCTTAAACACTTTTGGCGATGAAGATGCTGACAATGAGATGAATGCACAGTATAAACAATATAAAAAAAACATTAAAAAAAGCGATACAGTGAACTACGATAGAGCGAGGGATGTCTGTAGTTGGTTCCATTATTTAGGGGTGCAGCTGTGACGTCCTGGTTACCCACAAGTACCAGCCTGGACCTCGGGTCAGCTCATGGTAAATGATCTTCAAACCTAGGAGATCTAGAGGCCACATACAGAGTTCAGAAGATCAGAAAGATCCATTTTATTGAGTCCATTAAGCTCGCCAGAATCTGTGAGGTCAGCGGCCTTCCCCCTACACCATAGAGAAGATGTGGGACACTGTAGATGTAGGGGGTGGAGGTAAAATAAAATTCTGCATGAAGTTTTATCTATTTCATCCACCGCCCTTCATTTTATCCAGTCTGAATCACATATTCATTTTTCCATTTCTGCTTTTATCTTTTCACGCCACTGCCTCCTGTCTTCCCCTTCTCTTCTGACGTCCTTTCAGCCCTGTCAGCTTCCCCCTCTGTGTCCACTCCTCACTGTCAGTCAGTCCCATCACTCCTCTGTAAGCCTCATCCCATCAATCTCACCTTTCATTTGCAATCACCCCCCAGCTCCAGCATTTGTGAACACTTTCCCCTCACTTATTTCTATCTTTCGCCTCGTCCCCACGATTCACACCTCATCTTTTGTGCTTTCATGAACTCGTCGTTTCCTGATCTTTCTTCCT